GGTGGGGGGGGGGGGGGGGGGGGGGGGGGGGGGGGGGGGGGGGGCAGGGTGCGACTTGGAAGGGGTGTGCTAATTCGGGCATTTTTCTTGTCACCAAAAACTCAGAGCTATAAAAATCAATAACTCATTCGTAGATCTCAGCCATATGTTTCTGACGACTCCTTTGGGGTGTAAAATCGAGGTGGTTCAATTTTCTCCCGCCGTTGGCATTCATCGGTTTTTCTGTCAAGCCGTGCAACTGGCGGGAGGAGGTAAGTGAACAGGATTACTCCGAAGAATATATTTCATCTTCTAGCAGTTTTTGGAAAAAGATTCCACACCTAATAGGATTTCATCCACAGACTCAAAATTTAGAATTTTTTAACATCTTGTACATCGCCGTTTCATTTCAAACCGGTTCAGAACAAAAATCCGATAAATAAATTTAATTAAGCGATTTTTTTTTTTATTGAAGTGCCTTTATTAAAGTGTGATTAAAATGAAATGAACGTAACTCAGAATCATTGAATAAACTGGCGTTTTTTAATACATTTGTATTATGAAAGATCACTTGATTTTAACTTGATTTAAACATTTATTGTCAAAATTTTAAGATCTCCAGATACCAACGCTTCACTTAACACAAAATGCCAGTAATATTTCAAAAATCTTTCGGAAGTATCTTCATCTCGGCTTTCTTGACAGAGTAGCACGGACCCTTCGGCCAACTGTTCCAGCGCATTCCTTGACAATCACTCTTACCATTGAGGTACAGACCATTCAGGTTGGAGTGGTGACAATTGTTGTACCACCAGGCGCCTTTAAAATGCGAGGCACAGTTGCGACCCCACCTGTCATTATCACGATCCTTGGTGGAAAATGACATACCACGATGCATACGGCCAAGCCCATCACCAGCGGTTCCTACAAAAAGGGGAAAAAGTGAAATACATGTCTAACTTAGGTCTAACTAACACCTTCAGAAACCTGTTTAAGGCTTCTGATGACACCTTTGACGATTTTCAAGTTTTGATAAAGATGGCTGACAGTCATCGAAACTGTCACCTGTAATATTTGCTATCCCGGCAAAGGAACACTTCGCAGGTGCATGTGCCATTTTGGTTGTTTGCCAGTAGCGTAAACTGCGATTTAGGTGGTCAGTGGGCTATGGACCGCTTTGAAGAATGACTGAAAGTTAGTAAGCTCTCATTGTATGCAAATAAGTCTTGTGGTGAGCATGCGGCTTTCTTCGGCAATGGTTGTTCATGTTCATTCCGTTTTCTTTCTTTGGTAGTGATATAATTTCGTACGAACTGAGGCCCTTGATTTTCGTGTATTTATACACGTGTACTCACCAAATTCAGAAACAAATAAACGAATACGATATAAAAAGTAAACATCCTGAAGAATACTCAACCGTCGATAAAGTAGGACCTGAAAAACTTTTAGCGAGGAAATCCTGTTTCGTGTACAATTAATCGCCTCCATATTTCTTCTCTAATCTCCAAACAAGCGAGACTTGACACTTTTAACAATAAACCTAGTCTCCCACAAAAAGCCATCGTACGTGACGAGAAAAACGGCATAAACATTATACTAGGCATAATTTTATCACAGAGTGGAATATTTCTAGTCATTTTTATAACATGCAAAGGATTGATGTATTTTTTGCTGTTTAGAACACGTGACTTGGTGTCGAAAACCACCACGAAATAACGACAAACGGAAAGTTGTTCTATACTTCGTTCCACGTCGTCGTCGGTAAAATACGCGATTCAAAGGCATAGTGCTGCTCAATTATGAAGTTAAAGTAGGAATATTACCGGTACAGCTCAGAATCAACAAGCGTTAACTGCCGCACAATCTCAATTGGATGCAGCTAAAAACAATTTTAAGAACAACATATTTAAGTCTAATTAGGTTTAAGCTGGTCACAAAAGAAAAAACACTGAACTTCAGTGTAAAACTACGTTGCATTTAGTCCTGTGAGGGTGTTTGGTCTCATTCACACTGTGACACGCCATTTTCGCGTTCCAAAGTAAGTGCAAAACCTTTCTTGTGAAAATGAGCTCTACTTGCATGGGAATAAAAAATTATTCTCATATCAATACGCCATTTCCGAGTTCTAAAAACTTTCATTTTCAAAACGAGGTTAGTGGTAAAACCTCTCTTGTGAAAATTAAATGAGTTTTCTTTGCATAAGAGTAAGAAATCATTTTCGTATCATTGGATTTGCATTTAGCCTTGCTTTCAAACTAAGGCTTGGGGGAACTCGGAAATGAGCTTTTGCTTCGCACTAAGCTTCGCTTGAAACCGAGCCCGAAAGTACTAATTGGGAACACTATTTGAAGTCTCCAACTGGAGACGGGACTGGCATTTTACATGGTCATCCGAGCCACGCTACTGTTCTTCATTTCTCATTTTATTGAAGATCCTGAGTATTGGTCCGGCCCGGGAATCGAACCCGCGACCTTCCGCTCAGTAGTCCGGCGCTCTCCCAGCTGAGTTAACCAGGCGAATGTGATAGAATTTTTTTCTTTTTTAACGACCTTAGTCACTGAGTTGTGTCGCTTTTCTTGTCAGAGGGGTCGCGCATTAAAACGCTTTACAGCCAAATTGCTGATTCTCTGGTGATTTTACGTGTTACGCTGTACTCATTGACGAAAATAAGTAACGTACACAATTTATTCAGTTGAGAGAGGTATCGAGGCCGTGGTAACGCTTACTTAATCTATTTGGCCTGGCGGGGGGGGGGGGGGGGGGGGTGCGACTTGGAGGGGGGGGGGTATTTGGGGCTTTTTTTTTGTCCCCAAAAACTCAGAGCTAAAAAAATAAAAAACTCTTTCTTAGTTCACCCCAAATTTTTCCTCAATCCTCCTTGTGGTTTAAAACTCGGGTGTTTTNCATCTTCTAGCAGTTTTTGGAAAAAGATTCCACACCTAATAGGATTTCATCCACAGACTCAAAATTTAGAATTTTTTAACATCTTGTACATCGCCGTTTCATTTCAAACCGGTTCAGAACAAAAATCCGATAAATAAATTTAATTAAGCGATTTTTTTTTTTATTGAAGTGCCTTTATTAAAGTGTGATTAAAATGAAATGAACGTAACTCAGAATCATTGAATAAACTGGCGTTTTTTAATACATTTGTATTATGAAAGATCACTTGATTTTAACTTGATTTAAACATTTATTGTCAAAATTTTAAGATCTCCAGATACCAACGCTTCACTTAACACAAAATGCCAGTAATATTTCAAAAATCTTTCGGAAGTATCTTCATCTCGGCTTTCTTGACAGAGTAGCACGGACCCTTCGGCCAACTGTTCCAGCGCATTCCTTGACAATCACTCTTACCATTGAGGTACAGACCATTCAGGTTGGAGTGGTGACAATTGTTGTACCACCAGGCGCCTTTAAAATGCGAGGCACAGTTGCGACCCCACCTGTCATTATCACGATCCTTGGTGGAAAATGACATACCACGATGCATACGGCCAAGCCCATCACCAGCGGTTCCTACAAAAAGGGGAAAAAGTGAAATACATGTCTAACTTAGGTCTAACTAACACCTTCAGAAACCTGTTTAAGGCTTCTGATGACACCTTTGACGATTTTCAAGTTTTGATAAAGATGGCTGACAGTCATCGAAACTGTCACCATCATTAAGACTTTTCTTGGCTATGTTTTGAGAACATTTAAATAGGTCTAACTTATATTTCAAGGGTTATCTTTCGCAGAGTTTTTCAACCGGTCAATTTCACTCCTGCATATTAAACAACCTCAGTCCACTTTAATTAATCCAAACGGGACGAAACACTTCCAGATTTTTAAAAACAAAATTAAAAAGTCCTTCCACAGGTCTTAAAAGGAACATTAAAAATAACATTTGGTAAAGCTACGAAACCGGTGGAGATCTTGTGCTTGCTGATAATTCAATTAAACACCCTTATTTCTGAACTCTCAAGACGTGGGCCAATCCTTTTCAAACTTTTTTATATGATCTAATATGACATTACAAATAAGGTCAATTGCTGTTGTAAAAATCAACTGATAACTTCCACATTTCAATCGCGATCAATTCCAAAAAAAAAATCTTATATTCTTTCTTTTTTCTTCTTTTATTGTATTTGCCAATTGGCAACATTTTTCGCCGACGAACTCTTTTTGAGTCCTGTATAAACTTACCCGAATAACTTCCAAAGTTCAGTCGGTATTTTGCCTTCTCGCTTGCCACAGAAAAGGAGCTGTACTCTGCAAATGCAGTTTTTCCATGAATGTCTCCCAAGTCGATACGGAGTTTATAACCACCGCTTACAGTCAGCCGATGTATCTTGTCCAAACCGAGCCAGAACTCACCGTTCAGATTGCCAAAGCCACGTTTGTAGTCATCCCAAGCGCGGAAGAAATCAACAGAGCCATCTCGCCTCCTCTGAAACACCGTCCAACCTCCACCGGCCGTTTTCTGATCACAGAACACTTCAAATTCGCCCAGACCATCAGGATTGATTTTATACACTCCACTGATCTTGTCACCGGACTTGTAGACTTCAGCGCAGTTCTTGTAAACTGAAATAAAATGGTCATTCAATGCGGTAATTAGTTTTTGGCTATTTTTTCTAGCCGTTATTCTTCAAGGTAAAAGGTTAATCCAAAAGAGTTGGCAAATTCAAGAATAAAATGTGACACATAGCTGTAAATGCGTTATTTAGACTCAGTATTAAACATTTGAACTATTCGCCTTAGCCATCCCTCTGTTTTGCATTGTGCTTGGACGTAATATAATAAAGGAGGATCTAAATGACCCATAGAATTTGTTTTAAGAACACATTAGTAAAATAAGAATTATCGTATTTTCGTGACATTTTGGAGGGGTTTTGACGGTGTTTTAGTGAGGTATTGATGACTGAATGATGATCCACTTTGTTCATTTGTAGCACAAATTAAGTTGTTGTTACAAACCTTTTTTCAATGCCCTGATTTCTTTTCGTATTTCTGCTAATTGTTGCTCGATTTTCTTGCAGTTGGGTCCGGCGTAGAAGCTGTTGTAGTTATTATTCACATTACAACGAGTGGCCTTCGTCGGTTTTACTGTAGAGTTGGCAAGTGCCGAGATGAGGCAAGCGAGCGGGATAATTCCAAAGAAATATTTCATCTTAACTCCTTAGTATGAGCAGTTTTGAGATTCGAAAGAACAGTTACTATCCTACATGTACAATGGACAAAGAGTTAGAGAAGAAATGATACTAAAACTTCCGCAGATGCTTCGTATTGCTTCTGATTTTTCAAAACAAGATTTTTCTCGTCTGTAAGCTTCTGTGTATCTTAAGTGAGGGGTTTCGTCATCTATTATTGCGATCACCAATAAAGCATTAAATTATTCAACATTTACATAGAGCATCGTGTGGCCGAACAATAAATGTCTTGTTTATATCTCTTTGTTTTGTTTTTATTGTCGAGGAATTAATGGCGTACTACTTTAAAATTGTAGTTTTAAGCTTCGTGTGGAAGTGGAAAATAGAGATAATGACATATATTTTTGTCAGTTTATGGAGGAGTTGTAATAGCAATTTCAGCGATTACTACAGTCAAGTATTGTTAAACCACAGTCAGTCTAGGTGGGTAAAAACGAAGCCCTCGTTATTTTTAAAGCGTCGCAGTCACTGCCAGAATACCCTTGTGACTGGGAAGGAGTAGATGCATAGGGAAAAGAGCGCTCTTTGAATTATCACGCTCTTAAATGCCTCAACCATTTGTGTGTGTAGCCCCCAAATACAACTGCCTCTTAATGCTCTCTCCCTTCCGCTGGGAATGGCGGGGAACTATGAGAGACGGCTTTATTGACAGGTTAGCTCGTGGAACCCAGACTGAGCGGATAAATGCAAAAACTCAAGGCTACTGCTCACCTGCGCTTCCCATAACACATATTTCAATATTTACTGAATTTTGACGAGACTAGCTACTCTCACAAATAAATGCCGAAAAGCAACTCGTTGAAGCATTGTTTACCTAAAAACTTGTATGTAAAAGTTTACTGAAGCGCTTTTTATTTGCAAGTTTTGGTTTCCGCAACAGCCATTTTATTTGACTCCGCTAAATTTGATACAAATTTCCATGGGCCAAATTGAACTATTTCGAAGACTATGCTTGATAAGCAAACTTCTCAGCAAAACAAATGACTTTCTTCTCCTCTGGTTCGTGATAACTGGCAACTAACACAATCTATCACAAGACAGCCGAGTATTAAATTATGAATTCAATTACAAGCTCCTTTACCAACGGAAAAGCACTTCCCTGTCGCAATTTAGAGAGAAGTGGATGGGTAATAGAAGACAGGCTCATAGGTCCATAGAAGACAAAAGGGGAATTCTAAGGACAAACCAGTAAGTTACTATTTTTACAAGTGATCAAAAGTATTAAACAGAGAAAAAGTGCGCTAGGTATTTTTTCTATTTCTATTCCGGTCCGTTAAGTTTTACGTCATCCTCATTTAATGATACACATAATTCAACTCCCGTAGGGACATTGGCAATAAATCCTTGGGATTAACTATATTGTTGGCCACTAACGTAATCAATGAATGACTTTCCAATAATCGGAGACCCATGTTTTGCGCACAGGATTCTGGGATCGCCAGGGGGCAAACATTGCGAGTCGCTACAAAGAAATGTATGGCGTGGAGTTATTTCTCGGCCGTTAAAAGCGGTGTCTTTGGACAGAGAATGCCGCATTTTGCCGTGATTTTATGAAAACGGAGGTGACTAATATTGGGGTGTTGAAATTTCAAGTTTCTGTGTGATTAATGCGATAGATTCTATCGATAAACACTCCTTGCGTGAGGCTGAGGGTGAAATTTTTGTTTACTGAATTTACAGAGTGATCTACGTAAAGAAAAGGTCTCGAAATACATAGTGCAAATTAAGGTATACATGTTGGGGGATTGGCTCATTTAAGCGTTTAAGTTATAATTACGTGTGGTGATATTTACGACGAGTGTAACTACGCTCGGCCGCGATGAGCGCTGTGCGGCGCTGTGCGGGTTATGACAAGACAACAATCATAGTTATGAGTTTGATCGTCCGGGTTTTTTGCGTTACGAGTTTGGGGGGCTTATATTTGGAGGTGCTTATACAAGGAGGGGCATATTTTCGGAATTTTACGGTATATTATTCAGCAAAAATATTTAAGCAATTCATACAGATAAATTCAGTCAAGTAATCCAAGTTTTACTGAGGCACCTCTTTTACAAACCTGACAGTCACTCAGAATGCATGAAACTTGCGTTTTTCAATGCATTTTTCTAACAGTAAGGCGACTTGATTTGAGCTGTACCTAATGCCAAATGTCTATTGTTAGAAGAGTACCAGAGTACCAGTATCTTCATCTCAATGTATTTTCAGTCAATGACAAAAATAACTTTTATCCGTTAAGAATGGCTGAAAAAGATTGGCAAACAAGGATAGATTTATTTTTAGTTGAAAAAGATGGAAAGCAACATTATTCACTCATAAAACACTTTAACAGATTGTTTAGATCGCAAATTACTTCACAGACTAATGCCCCAGTTTACATCTGTAAAAAATGTTTTACTAACTTTACAAAGAAAGAGTTATTTGATAAACATATCCAATACTGCCTTAGGAATGAAACAGTTGCTGTAAAAATGCCGGAAAAAATAACATTTTTGAATTCAAAAATTTTTCCCATAGATTTCCGGTACCTTTTGTTGTTTATGCAGACTTTGAATATTTCACAAAACCACTTCAAACATGTGAGCCTTCTTCTAATGAATCTTATACGTATTCGTATCAAAAACAAATCCGAATTTTATTCAAAGCTAAATGATGAACATATTTCTGACGAAGATTATCTGCATGCCTTAACTGTTTGGAAGACGTTTAAATGTAAAACGATAAAAGATTTTCACGATCTTTATCTCAAGTCTGATGTTCTTCTTCTTGCCGATTTAATTGAGAACTTCAGAAAAATTTGTCTTGAATATTACAAACTTGACCCAGCACATTACTTTACGGCGCCAGGTCTCGCTTGGTATGCTTGCCTCAGCTTCTTCACGATCATGACATGTTGATGATGTTTGAACAAGGAATACGGGGGGGGGGGAATAACTCATATAGCAAAGAAATACGAAGAAGCAAACAATAAATATATGAGAGATTACGACTCAAATAGACCGTCTAAATACATTCAATACCTGGATGCAAATAATCTTTATGGTTGCGCGATGTCTCGAAAACTGCCAGCTCATGGATTCAAGTGGTTGAAGGATTTAACAGTTGAAAAAACAAAAGAATTAATAACCAAAAAACGAAAAAATCGCGGTTTTGTATTTGAAGTTGATCTTGAATATCCTGAAGAGTTGTGGGGACTTCACAATGATTATCCACTTGCTCCAGAGAAAATAAAAAAAGGAAACGCAGAAAAACTTATTGGAAGTTTTTATCCAAAGAAGAACTATGTAATACACTACAAAAATTTAAAGCAATACCTTAATCTTGGGATGAAAGTAACCGCCGTTCATGGAGGAATAGCATTTCAAGAAAGTTATTGAATGAGGCCATACATCTCAAACAATACAAAGTTGCGAAAAAAGTCAAAAAATTTGAGAAAAGCTTCTTTAAATTAATGAATAATTCTGTATTTGGAAAAACAATTAAAAACATCAGAAAAGGACAAAATGTAACATTGATTGATAACCGAGGAAAAGCTTTGAAATTGTCATCAAAACCAAATTTTGAAAGAAGTAAAATATTTGATGAAAATCTTATTGCTGTTCACATGAAAAAAACTGAGGTTTATTTTAATAAACCTATCTATATTGGCCAAGCAATTCTTGATCTATCAAAAACGCTTATAAAGCCAAAATATGGTGATAAAGCTGAATTACTTTTTACAGATACTGATAGCTTAATGTATAGTGTTCAGACGGAAATTTTTATAGGGATATATCTGGAGATGTTAGAAAAAGATTTGATACAGGTGATTATCCTGAAATACATCCGTCGGAAATAAAAACAGGGGTTAACAAAAAAGTAATTGGAAAATTTAAGGATGAAGAAGCTGGAAACAGATTACTCACTTTGTTGGTCTTCGTCCAAAGCTCTACAGTTACAAACTTGAAGACAACGAAGAACTGAAATGCAAGGGCATTAAAAAAAAACGAATTAAAATTTATAGATTATAAACAGTGTTTTTTTTTTTCAGGTGAAGAGCAAATGAGAACGATGAATATTATCAGAAGTGATAATCGCGATATTAACTCTATGAGGATAAATAAAATAGCATTATCTACAGCAGATGATAAACTAATTGTGATGGAAAATAAAATTAATACAAAGGCTTTTAGGTAAAAAAAAAAGTTATAAAATAAAATGAGTTACACCGAAGAACAAATCAATAAATATATGAACTATCTTAAACCATATATTTGAATCGGTTAAACTAAAAAAACGGAAAAAGTTAGATGTAGAATTTGTGGAAATGAAAGATGTTTTGTTGAATCGCGTCATAATATCTGTGAAGAATGTAGGACGGTTCATGATGCTCTGACAAATCATATTATGACAGAGTTCATTTTCGACAAAAATCTATTTATCAGCGAAAATACCATTATGAAAAAAAAGATTAGGAAAATATTTGAAAGGTTTAAAATATTTTTAACAGAGGATGAAAAGTATAAACTCTATAAAAAGTTAATGGAGATAAATAGCAGTAAACTAATTTAAAACATTTAAACGAAAAATTCAAGAGAAAGAGAATGATCAACATTAATTACTTAATCCGAAAATTTTTACAAGAAATGGGAAATTAAAATTTAAAAAAAATAGATTTGAAGATATCACTTCAAACCTTTGTATAAAATAAAAGCAATGGTGTTGATATCAGTAGTGTTTTACAGTATGTTTCATACAAAAACTTGTAAACAAGGCAAGCTTTGGTGAAATATTTATTTTTTGATAAATTTTTATAACGGGGATACAGTAATTTTCATTTCCAAAAGCAACAATAGTCTCTATGATTTTATTCTATTGGTAGATAAAAGATGATAAATAAAACTTTTCTTTTTTCTTATCTATTTTTAATTTTGTTTCTCCAAAAACTTGTAAGGTTTAAGTTCAAATTTATGGTAGCATAAACTGTTGTTAATAAACCTGAGAATGATGCCCTATGAAAGCACACTTAGGACATACTAGCAACAATCATGCCTCGGTTATTATGTCACACAACGTGCAACATTTGTATAAGCTTTTGTACTAAGTAATGGTAGATACTAGTTCAAAGTACAAGAAAGAACAATGAACACTAACTATAGTGTTTGATTACAATGTATCCTTCTTCTTTGGCAAAGTCCACTGTAATGTAGCATGATGTATTACTAGACTCCACAAAGGTTCCATTCATATTATCAAATGCTTATCATGCACTTGTGCTCCTCTTTTTGCCGTACACTGCCCTTTCCCAGTCAGTTCGTTTAGAGCTTCGGTTCATTCACAACAGCGTTTTTTCCCTCCCACCCACCCTTTGTTCTGACTGGAACATTTGTTTAGTTCTTCGATTACTTCTTATGTTCCCTATATATTTCAAATCAAATCAAAAACTTTATCTCACTTCGAATTCCAAAAGATAGCATCAACTAGTGCTCATATCTCCGAAGGTATAGCAAAAACAGATAGAATATAAATGACAACGCTGATTAGAATAGAGTAATACTATTACTCTATTCTAATCAGCGTTTATACTATATATTATGTACAAGTTTAAGATAATGTAGAAACAGTAAAATTATTATATACAGTGTGTCTACAGTACCTAGTGATAATTAAGACTAATTACAAAGGGGCAGCATTTATTATCTATTATTAATGCTCTTAATTTTTGGATTTGAAAACATGTAATGATTCAGTAGTTCTAAGTACCTCTAGGAGCATATTCCAATATTGGCTGGCAGAGTAGCAGAGTAGCAGTATTTAGCAAGACCAGAACGTATTTTAAGCAGATCATTACTTTATTCCCCTATAACATGAATCCTTAAGATTAATCATTTATATTATGGTGTTATACTTGACTAGGTCTCATTCCTCCATTAGGTTCCGGGGAATTGAAACTGCTGTCTGGCTTCCAAATAAAAGGAGTGGCAGGGAAGTGCAACCCCTGGCTGCACTTTACCCCACAGTAAGGCTTAGGAAAAAGGAAAAATATCCACTCCGGGGTGTGGAGCCCCGGTCCCACCTGATCTGTACTCCACCCAGGAGGGCCACCCCTCCTGGTTCCCCTCAGTTCCTGTGCTGGGGGATATGGGCCTCACCCCCGGGGACTGATCAGGACCCCTGTCCAGGGTGGCTACCCCCGGTACCACTCGATCTTGTCTCCCCCCAGGAGGGCTTCTCTCCTGGTCCCCTTATACCTAGATTTAAGCGCTTCCCCGCCACCAGAATTTTGCCCATTACCCATTGTGTGTTTTCTGTGTGGTACCGACATAAAGCATTTATGCGAAAAACACTGCCAATTGGAAGAGTTTATTAAATCGTTTTTGTCAGCAAACTCAAAAGTATAACTTTGATTTTTATTTTCTGGTTTTGCTGTTTTTCTTTTTCCTTCAGCAATTAATCTAATAGAACCAGGATTAATTTTTAAACTTTTACTTGCCTTGTAGATAGAGTCATGTTTAGTTACATGACCTGTTACAAGATTTGCTGCAATTATTTTTCTTTTTATTCTCATTGGATTTTTAGTGTCTTCATAGTTAATAGAGGGAATGGTTATGAAACCCGACAAAGTTCTTTGTTGTATGTTTTTGTTCTCTTTTTTGGCCTTGACCCTGCACAAAACACAATAGTTGTTTACTCCGTACTGAGGAACTAACCAATTCTAACCAATAGAAACGTGCTGGTTACGTAATTCACGCATAACGTATGAACGCAAAACAAAAGATTGTGCAGGGTCGTGGACCTTCTAACATAAATCTTGGCATCTTTGTTTGCTCCTTTGATGTTTGCCGGGCTTCATAACCAGTCACCTCCATTAACTATGGTGTCTTTAAAAACGTGTTTAAGGTTGGATCTCTCATTTAGCCTATTTCTATCAACGTGGATTACTTTGTAAAAATCACCAACCTCTTCACCGTTAATTGCCTCCCAAATTAATTTATGAAAGGGGTAACCGTGGTTTAAAACCTCTTTGATGAATAGAGAATTTACGGTAGCCATTAACTATTGTTCCTTTTAATGGCTTATTTCTTTTTCTGTTGTATATTTGACCGTCTTCTGTCGCCTACTAGTTTTTATAATCGGGGTGAAAGTACTTTCTCATTTTATAGTTTTAGTTATATTGTTTTTACTTTTTTCAAATTTACGGTTGTATTTTTTAACAAATCGATCAGCCAATGGAGTCTGGTCAATCATCATTTCATCCATTATTTTTATTTTGTCAATAAACTGATTTTTTAAATGAATCTCCTCTCAGAGCTGACCTCAATTCAACCAAAACTTTTTCATAGGTTGTAAAAGCGATTTTTGACATTTCAATCTTTTTCTTGTTGTTTTTTACTTTCCAAAATTTGCCTTTTTTACAAGAACACCAACTCCATTCACAACACCAAGAATGACTGGGTTTAATGTTGTACCTCCTATGATTGTTCCAATAATCCCTTAACAAATTCCAGAGATTGTAATTGTGTCATCAAGAAGTTTGAATCGTTTGTATGATTTCTTGAAACACCAAAACTTTTTGTCCTAAACATTTTGAATACCGCCGTATACAAAAATATGAACTTAATATTACAACAATAAAGGAAGGAAGAAGTCTTATATCCTTTCAAATTCATTTTATTGGTATCAATAAGATGAAGTTTGTAAATGATTTCAAACAAAACCTAATCACCCATATATGCCAGATCGATGCTTCAGGATGTTCTTATGCGGTGCGTCGGGATGTGGAAAGTCGGTCATAGGGGGAACCGTAGATTCCTCTATTTCGTGATAACTTCCACATTCCGATCACGATCAATTGCAAGAAAAAACTCTTATTTTCTTTCTTTCTTTTTTTTTCTTTTGTTATTGTATTTGCCAATAAGCAACATTTTTCGCCGACTGATTCTTTTTCAGTCTAGTGTATAAACTTACCTGAATAACTTCCCAAATTCAGTTGGTATTTCGCTCTCTCGCTTGTCACAGAAAAGGAGCTGCACTCGGCAAATGCCGTTTTTCCATGATTGTCTTGCAAGTCGATACGGAGTTTATAACCACTACTTACAGTCAGCCGATGTATCTCATATCCAAACCGAGCCAAAACTCACCGTACAGATTACCAAAACCGCGTTGGTAATCATTCCAATTGCGGAAGAAATCAACAGAGCCATCTCCCCACCTCTGAAACACCGTCCAACCACCACCGGCTGTTTTCTGATCACCTAGAACACTCCAAATTCACCCAAACCATCAGGATTGATTTTATACACTCCACTGATCTTGTCACCGGACCGGTAGACTTCAGCGCAGTTCTTGTAAACTGAAAGCAAAATGATCATTCGATGCGATAACTAGTTTTTTCTAGCCCTTATTCTTCGAGGTAAAAGGTTAATCCAGAATAAGAGTTGGAAAATTCAAGAATAAAATGTGACACATATACTGTAAATACATTATTTAGACTCATGCAACAATCCATGGAAAATTGCCCCCAAAGCGAATTTTTAACTAAAAACTATTGCAGGCACTTTCAAAAAATCTTCATGTTTCAAGTCTTGTTGAAGATGTAGCTTACAAGAGGAAAGATTCGTAAATTAATGGTTTGGTAAAAATGAAAATACTACGAATTCCAGCGGTCTTTAGTAGAAATTTTCCTTTCTTCGAGGACCTCTCGAACCGCTGGTTTTTTCGAATTTTGAAAAAAAATTCATATCGTGTACCTAAAATTGAGTAATTGCTAGGTTGGTGAGGTTTGATTGAAAATAGTACTCGCTAAATTTTAGGGCTGTGTCAGAAAATTTAAAAGTGAGAAAATGAGGCATAGACTTTACTCTCCGTGTTTTTAATTCAAACGTTTTTCGAATTTACCGTTTGAAAATAGCAGAGCGAGAACAAGTAAAAATACGCAGTCGACAATCTAGAGAGAGAGAGAGAGAGCAATAGGAATTGAAACTTAAATTCATAGAGTCGACACCAAATGTAGGTGTATACTCAACTTGCCTGATAGTATTTGTTAAATGCATAGTTAAATTAATTCTGAAAGCAAATTCTTGATACTTGTCACGTACTTGCATTCCTTGAACTTGAAAAAAACCGCCAAACTAACAAATTAAGTTATTAACTGAATATAATAAGAAATAGAGGATAACTAGTCACACTTGACCTCTACATAATCCTTAGTACTAACTTCCTTTGTCCTCAGAATTCTCCTATTTGGTCTGTTATGTTTCCAGCTGCAAGTTTCCATACGTTGGCAGTGGCCAACAATTCTTTACAATGTTGAACGGCTTGGAAACTAAAATTTCGAGGACGTTTTTGGACTTTTTACATTTAGGGCATCAATTTTCGTCATTTTAGGCCATGGAACCTAAAAATGAGCCTAGCTAGCTGTAAAAAGGAGCAATACGGAGGCAATACGTCCTAGCCGGCATGATCACATGCTGTTTACGGAAAATTCCCTCATTTTGGGAGGGCTGACAATTGAAAATAATTTTTTCATATTGAAAATCGAAAAAAGGAATAAAATCATAGCATTTGATTTGTTTCTGTCGCGTGACTTTGCATACTTTATCCAGTATTTGTTGCTCTTTATAGGTCGGCATTAGTGAAGATACCGAAATTCTTCATACGATTTTCATTCCGTCCAGCAAATGTGTTTGCGATCTGAATCACGTCCAAGCTTTCCGTTAATTTCTTATACAATTAAGTACTGTCAAGTTGCTGAATCGCTGCTGTTTCATGTTCGATCTCAGCCATGTCTTTCAGATTCAATGCAAGAAAAGACGCGATTACAATTTTAGTATAGAAAATACTACACTGAAGTGATCTGAAAAATTTCTAACCGTTCACTGTTCAAGTAATGTAATTCTTCTTGCCATCGAATATTTCATTGATTCGAAAGGAGAAAGACAAAATATACAACTTTTATCAACTTTTATCACAATTACCGCGAAAAGCACAGGAGCCCCACAAAATGCCTGGCGTTTGAAATTAAAGAAAATACAGAGAATATGGCAGAATATAGACGGAAAAAACTTGTTTCAAGTCTTTTTTTTATTTTAATTATTTTTCTTTTTAGCGCAAAAAGTGAGGGCGGGGGCGCAAAAAAGTGGTGGGGCCGCGGCCCTACCAGCCCCTCCCCCTCCGCGGTCCCTGCATTTATGTCAGGAAATTCTGTTTTTTAAAGCCTCCCCTAGGGCATGACTCAGCAACTGAGGACATTTCTGCTACGTTTTCAATGTTGGTTAGCATGCAAGGATTTTTCCCATGCCTATCGTCAATGATTTGCTCACTGGTAATAGAGGGGCTGGCCCCAGAGTGGTTTTGCATTGAAATTGGCATGCAACAGAATTTCGCATGCCCTGTAAGCATAATTTGAGGTTCCGTGACCTTCTCACCCAGGCCGCGAGAAGCCTAGGTTCTAGTAATAAGTAATTCATACCCAGCAAAATCTCCGGCATGCCGGGCATGCCAAATTTTCTGGCATGCCCGGCATGCCAAATTCTCTGGCTTGCCGGGCGTGCCATAATCTGGGTCATGCCGGGCATGCCAAAATCGGTCTCTGGCATGCTCTCAACGCACAGGTTATAATTCCTTGAATCTACAGATATTTTAAGCCTGGCTAAAAAAAAAAAAAAAAAAACAGATCACAGTGCTTATCGTTTGATGTACGGTTACACGATGACGTCATTGCTATTCCTTTCATTTTCATAGATTTGGTTGTCCCAGCGAAGTTTAAATAACAAAAGCTCTAATTTTCACAAGAAAGTAAAACCCTGAGGGATTCTGCCGTAGTAATAAAACAGCGTCATCGTGGAGATGACCTGTTGGGGGATTGTAAAAACTCCTCACCCCTTTTAATGAGTCTTTAATAGGATTCCCATTTCACATTGCGAATAAAATGGAATTGACCGAAATCAGTAAAAAGAGAGACAGAGACTATTTTCATTGTATAATGAAATGCATCTATGTTCCATGAAAGCTTTTAAAAATACAAGGTTATAGAATATCTTTCAAAGTTCATTACAAACAGAGCTAAGCCCCAAAATCACTGTTCATCATTCAGTAAATTATGATGTTTGACAATACAATGTGCTTGAATATAACGTTGCAATTACAAATCCCTCTAACGCAATTTGCCCTAAGTTAGAAAAGCTGTTTTTATCTTGTTTCACATTTTGATAAGGAGTCTGAGTTCCTCTTTCTTGTTTTGTAGGCTTGCCAGGGATTAGTATTTTTGTGTCATTTCCAGTGTCTGTGTTCTTTGTTTTTAACCCAAAGTAAGTCAGTAATAACTGACAGTATCAAAGAATTGCTCTCTAGAAAAGTAATTATCTCCTCGTCATGTCTGAAGTTACCTGTAACAAAAAAGAAATGGAATGTTAACACATGCAAGGGCAATATGAAAAAAAGAAATAGAACATGTAGACTCAGCTTCTCTTAACATATTTTCATACTGGCTTGTCGAGTCTGTTAAAGGTCGCAACTAATTGTCTGAGGCTAATTTCACAAGAGTGTGCAATTGCGATAAATAAATGGCAAGTGAAAGAAACGTGGTTTCACATTAGCCAGTTTACATTGCGTTGTTCGATGATGTTTACATGTCTTCTACTGCGAAACAAACCTTTGCATTTGGGTTTGCAAGTCAAGATTATCCCGAGTTTGACTGACACTTGAACAACAATTTCACGTTTAAGCAGGTAAGGCGTAGACCCATATAAAGCCGGAATATTTAAAGGAAACTCAGCGAAAAATTTTTCGCATCTTTTTGAGGCGATATTCTCTCATGGCCCGTCAACTGATTAGGGGTTTTGAAGAAAAAATACATTAGGACCAAAGGTTAGAGCCTGTCCGGTTACATCATTTCGTATGTTACCTAGAGTTCTAATAAATAGGTCATAAAATAGGATTTAACGAGAGCGAATTTGTTTCTCAATCGGCGTATAAAAAAGTGAAGCTATCAAATGAGAAGTGTATAAAGTATCAAAATTATTAAATTAAAAGCTCACATAATTAGGAAAATTCCTATACGAAAACAATGCTAGTGACCTTAAATTGATCAGATAAAATTCTCACAAAATATGTGGAATAAAAGCCTCATTGTTTGCTTTTGTTTTTGCGTCAAGGTAAATTTTTCGGCCCACAAAGCAAAGTTGAAAAAACGGCTAAATCTTAGTTTTTTTACATTGAACAGGTTTATTAGTTTATTATTAGTTTATTAGTTTTTGTCCGTTTTAAAAGCTTTATAACCCAATCATAATTTTCGAGTTAGAATAGTACAAAATCATTTCAAAAACCATGTTCATTTCAAGTAGAGCCGGCAAACGTGAACATTTT